GATGTCCATCATATGATGGACGAAAGCTCAGCACGTTTTCACCCGAAACGAGGGAGGAAGTTTTGTGGACAACGAGTTTCATCCGTCCTCATCTGGTGAGATCGACCAACGAATCTCTTCTTCACGCACTTTCATTCGAAATGAAGGTCCCCCTAATAATTGAAACTTATTTAACGAATCTTTTGTTCCTACTATTAACTAACTTATGTCTTATCATAAAGGCAGAAAAGTAGATTGCTGGATTTAAAATGCATCACCCTCAAGTAAAGGAAACATGATTACTAACTTACTTAATTGAAATAACTTAAGATAGTTTTAGGACCGATGCTTTAATTTTCCCATAATCACTGAATAGGCTTCAGGCAGCCAATAAATTTGCCTTATCTCTGCCTCTCAAAAGACTGTCTCATCCAAGCTCAATTTGGCTGCATTTGAGACTTTGCAGTCCACCCTAGAGGAGCTAGTCTTTTGGAGGCAATATTAAGTGAAATGCAATGTCACCCGGAAGCCTACTCATTTGATTGTAGTGAAACTCAATTATCAATTGAATATATGAAGACCAAGATGTTGTGGCCTCTGGTGTGGTCGCACTTCTATCAATTATCAATGTTTGAATCTCCTTAAACGACTTAAGGTGGTCAAGTACTTATTAAAGAATTACTGATTGTTTCAAGCCTGTATATCCTAAAAATTACTTTAGTGTCTTTGACTAACTAGGCATCAAAGAATTGAGTTTGTACTGTGCAATGGGTTTCAATCATCTAAGAATGTAAGGCTTCTATGACCTCATGACTTAGGACTTGGTGCTATTTAGTAGCTTTTAGCCTATTCGCTGGCTAGAAAAAATTGTGAAAAAACTAGACTTAATTTTATGATACAATAATATGTTAGGCATTTTATGCCTTGTAAGGTCAAATAAAAATGATTGGACAGAGACCTAATAGTTCAGACGTATTAAATGTGCATTATCATTATAGCTTTTGCTAAAAACTCAGCACCATTAAGAAACATGAAGGTTACATGCTATATCGGCTTTGAAGACGCTTAAGGCATCAGAATTAAAATGGCATTTAACATCTTTTATTCTTTACTGGGGTTAAAACTTTTTATTCTAAATCTTCTAACTATGCCCCGAATTTGCTTTATCTTTCAGAATGGATTGAAGTTCTCCAAAGTGACTAAAATCTGTGACGGATGCATTACGTCTTGGCGACAAAGTCGGATTGTCACCAAGTCACATAAAAATGTGATATTTAAGGGAAGTGTATAGCTACTGATATAGGTACTAATATCGAAAAGCATCAGAAGATCTCAAATAAGAGCTTCACTCACTCTAGGTCGCATAAGGTTATTAAAGGTAGATATATAATATAAGTAGACCTCACGTTTACAGCCTCACCTTCCAAAAGGTAGTTTAATGCCGGCTAAATTTGGCTGTAGTTTCGACCTTGCCTAGTTCTTATTAGCAGGAAACAAACTATGTTAATGCAGCATAGCCCCACAGCACACTGCTACGAGTGCCCTTGGATCATAAAAGAGACGTGAATCATATGGAAGGCCAGGCCTATCTTATAGGGCTTTTTGAAGAGGGATTTTCAATAAAGTCAACTTGTATTAAATATTACAAAATTTTGAAACTACCTGTAGGACACATTAATTAGCAAATATATTTACTTATATTTTTCAGCACTAATAATTCCATCTTTCATAAAAATGCCGGATTTTCTGAGGCGTAGGAGTCACTCCGCCACTACTAAATGAGTGAGTTACGAAGACCCCTTATATTATATATTGACTAAGTGACTCAATGACAGTCGGGAAATGTTCCAAATTAGTAGCATATTGCTACCCGACAAATATGACCACATCTCGAATTCTCTCGAGAATGCTGATGAGATCCAGACGAGTCTGCAACCCAGATTCGATGAAAAGGCAGTTAAAAGGAATAAGTTGGGTTACAATAAATGGAAGTGGATGTGTCTTTCTAAGCTGATCAACTAACTGATCCTGCATCAATAAAACAGCTTACGTTGATTCTCTTTCTAAAATAAATTAAGTATTGTTCTAGTATGCTTTTCACTTGATTATCATTTGGTATCAGAACATAAGCTTACTCGAGACACCATACAATGCAGGTACCATCAGCAGATGACGAGACGCAAGACTTGTCGTCACGGCTGATTTTTATGCAAGAAACTGCGTTTGCGTGCTCTTTCATGGTGGCCGTCAGCTTGGTGACAAACCTCGAGCTCGTCTCTGTCATCCGGTCACCAGCCGCTCCTCCAGTACGATGTGACCCACGCCGTTCACCAGAGGCACGTGTGAGTCCGGGAATATGACGTGACTCAGACACGTCCCAAACACGTACCTGGCCTTCCCCACCACCACTCACGAGGCGACGGCAGCAGCTGGTGGAGGCAAGTGCTGTAACACCTTTCTTGTGTGCATCATGGATAGTGTACATCATCCGACCCGTCTCTGGGTAAAAAGCACGGATCTTGCTGTCGTCCCAGCCTGTTCGAAGGGAAATATGATGGCAATCACAAAATTTATTACGTCCTATATAACGAAATCTTTGCGAAATATGGATAATAGTGTGTCATAAATAAACTAGAAGATGACGATTAAAAGGTTTGGCTACAATAAAAATGGTCGTGACAAACATATGAAATCTGGTTTCGCTTTTGGTATGTCAATATTCCTTGAACCCAAACATATTTTTTGACGCCATTCATTCATTTTGAGCACTGCATGTTAAGCAATAATTGACCAAAGAAATCGTTGGTTTGCTTATAAGCCTCTTGGGTCACGATTCATTTAGGAGCTATGTTATAGGAAATACTTTATCATTTCTTTTCTGTCCAGTACTGGAATAGGTCACTGTCTCATATCGAAATCCGGAGAATACTAACCGCTCTATCCTTTAATATAATTCCAACGCATTCAAGAAAAAGGCGCATTTCTTTAGGATGATGTTCGGAAGGTTTTGCACGAATATAGATGGGTTTAGAAGAAAATTGCTGTGCT